GCTTCAAGAAGTTGGAATATCCGGTTTGATGAAACGATCAAGACGTTTGATTTTCATAAAAATCCGGAAGAACCATGTGTTTATAAAAAGGTTAGTGGAAATGCGGTAACATTTTTAGTGCTCTATGTTGATGACATTCTTCTCATTGGGAATGATGTAGGAATGCTTCAGTCAACAAGGACATGGTTGTATAAACAGTTCTCCATGAAAGACTTGGGAGAAGCATCCTTTATCCTAGGGATAAAAATCTATAGAGATAGATTTAAAATGATGATTGGACTTTCCCAGTCGATGTACATAAATAAGGTGCTAAAATGATTTAGCATGGAAGAATCTAAACGTGGATATATTCCAATGAGTCATGGGGTTTCACTTTCTAAGGCAATGTCTCCAAAGACGCCTGAAGAAGGAGAACGGATGAATCATATAACTTATTCATCAGCTATTGGTAGCATTATGTATACCATGTTATGTACAAGACCTGATGTGGCTCATGCACTTAGTGTAATGAGCAGATATCAGTCTAATCCAGGTGAAGAACACTGGAAAGCCGTTAAAATGATCCTTAAGTACTTGAGAAGAACTAAAGATATTTTTATGATATATGCCAATGGGGAATTGAAACTAGAAGGATTTACTGATTCTAGTTTTCAATCTGATAAAGACGACTCTAAATCAATGTCCGGATACGTTTTCACCTTAAATGGAGCAGCAGTTAGTTGGAAAAGTTCCAAACAAGAAACAACTGCTGACTCTACAACTGAGGCTGAAAATATATTGCTGCATCAGATGCTGCAAAAGAAGCTGTTTGGATACGAAACTTCATCCAAGCGTTGGGTGTAGTACCGTCTGTTGTTGATCCAATAAAAATTTATTGTGATAACAATGGGGCTATTGTGCAAGCGAAAGAGACAAGATCTCATCAAAGATCCAAACATATATTGAGACGATACCATTTGATTAGAGAAATCATAGGTAGAGGCGACATCGTTATGGATCGAGTTGACTCAGCAGAAAATATAGCAGATCCCTTAACTAAGCCTTTATCACAGAAAGTGTTCGAAGGACATCTTGAGAAGATGTGTCTAAGATACATGAGTGATTGGAACTAGGCAAGTGGGAGATTGTTAGAGTAGAATATCCGTCGTTCCAATCAGATTGGACATATTCTACTTGTAAATACAATCTATTGGAATTATATTAATAAATAGGCCTTACTTTATCTTATAAATTAACATTTATCCTATATTCGCACTTAAGATAAAGTCCCTAGATCATATATAGCTATAAGGTATGGTTGCACATAGAGATGGTGGTCATAGAACATATCTTGAAAGTTGTGATCTTAAATTCAATTCCAACTCGTAGGATATTTCGAGATGGGATATCGAATAATCCGGAAAGACTTGTACATATGATGTATGCTTGTTGGACAAGAATATTGCATTCCATCAACATTAGCGTGGGACGCAAATACATATATGTAGGTGCTTGTTAGAGAACAAGTTCACTGAACATGACCGTATGAAAATTCTTAATGAAAGATTTTCTGTCGAATAAGAATTTTCATGTTACAATAGTACATGATTGATCCTATGACTTGAGGCACGATGGTAACTTTGTGCATATTATATTATACTTTGATTTATCTTTTTGATTGCTAGCACAATCATATAAAGGGATATTTTAGATATTATATTAATATGTATGGAAGTTTGTCAGTGGCCAACAAAGGATTCGACACTTATAAGATAAGTGAATTTCCTATGTGTTTCATAGTTTGTAATTCAAAGTCCTTGGCCAAGGCGAGATGAATAGAGATTCATAAATGAATTACTAAACTTGAAATAGAATCATAGTTATTAAATCAATTGAGTTTCGACTTATAAATTCATACCCAAGATTTAATCGGGAAATTGGATGTCGAAAGGATTTTACATGTACGTAATTGTAATTGAAAAGGTTTACTCTCTATTCACTTAATACTAGGTAATCATGCTACTTGCTAGGTGTTCCCATGATTTGTGGGTTCTTGAAATTAAAGGGTCAATTTCAAGAATAAGAATTAATATGATTAATTCAAATTACAAGTAAGTTGTAAACCCACTACTAGTATTAATAGTGAACCTAAAAGGTCACACCAATATTTGAATGAAAACAAATTAAAGTGATATTTATAAAGAGTTAGAATTAATTGATAATGATTAATTAAATAATATGATTATTTAATTAATTATCTAATTATGAATTAGATGTCAATTAAAAGAATATTATAAATTAATCAATTGGATTGATTAATTGAATTTTGGATATTAATTAAGTAATTAATATAATTACTAAATTAATAGTTGGATTTTAAAATATGATTTTAAAATTCAAATCCAAAATAATAATATGATTATTATAAAGAGTATAATATTATAATTGGGAGAAAAGATTATTTTAATAAAATCTTGAAAAATGTTTTCAAGAATTATTATTTTATTATTTTATCTTTAATATGATTAAAGATTAAAATAATGAAAAGACAAAATAATTGTGGAAGATGGTGGTTATGAACCACTTCACATAATTAATTAAAAGTCAATATTTGGTGAGATTATTTAATAAAATCTGATTTTATTTAAAATAAATAATCACCAAATATTGATTATTTATGCTAAAAAGTTTAGTATAAATAGGTGCAAAATGTTTGCACATATTGGCTAAGTTTTGAAATTTTTCAAGAGTTGAAAAAGAGAGAAAAAGAAGAATTGTTCTTCAAGATAAAATTTAAGAAAGAGTTCTTAAATAATAAAAGAAAAAAAAAATTATCTCCTAATTAAAATCCTCTAATTAATATTCCTATATCAAAACCGATACTTTTCTACTAGCGAAGAAAGAGGTTATCGGTGTTGGATTTCAAAAGGTGGACTCGATTAGAGGGAAGACATTTGGATTCCTAAAGCGAGACGAGTTCAAACCGGAAATTGATTTCTACAAACAACGACGAGGAGGAGATAAAAAGGTAATTTTCTAAATTATCTCACAAATCAAAATTAGTAAATGTTACTAGATTTTAAATGATGCTTATACGTTATATCGTTATACTTATGTACGGAATAAGTATTTATGAGATAAATACTTATAAAATTTTTAAAATTCCGCTGCTTATTCTGTTCCGTACAGTTTATCGAACCCAACATGAAACCCCTATGGCATCATGATCAAGTCATGCACCTAACCCTATAGGCGGTGAGGACACTCAAAGTGATCCAGTCGGAGATGATGCCGCTAAACTCGCCAGGTGGTCGGCCGCGAAATTCGCGGTCTAATCTGCGACTGACCCCAATTACCTCAAGGTGGAGTGCCGACGATGTCGAGCTCCTATGTTCTGCTCATCTGGTCGACCATATGACCAGCCATACCTTCAGGCCGAGTTTCAAGCAGGCCATCTGTGGGCCATAGCTTGACATGTCGATGCTCTTTGGATTCGTGACGTCCTCCTCGACGTGAGGATTCTTCAACATGCAGTGCGCCTTCTATCTCTGTTCGACCTGCCGGTTCACCCGGCGCAACCATGTTGTTTCTCGGGACCATTCGACCATGTGCACTATCCTATATCACAAAGTACCTCATTTTGGGATATTTTCACAAGCACTCAGTTGATGGGACCTTTTCTGAAAATATCACTCCATATCTGATATATAAAATAATGTTATAAATTTATAATTAATGAAATTCGGCGGTTGCTAACGTGGTAGTTTAACGAATCGCTAAATCGAGAGCGCTTGGCTGACACAACAATGACATCGAATAATATGCTGCAGTTTTTAGTATAACTTTTTATCTACCCAGGACAAATAGGCATTTTTCGGATTTCTTTATTTTTACAGTCACACTTTAAAGAGTTATAAACACCTAAATTTTGTAATTTCCACATAAAAGAATCTATTTACCACTACCTTAAAAAAAATAAAGAAGAGTAACATTTACCTCCACCGTAATAAACATAAAGGAATTTCATATCTTGCAAGTCGTCTTCTCAAATAGTTGGACAAAAATGGACAACCTTTCCCCTTATTTCCCCCTTTTTTTTTCTTTCCTCTGTAGTTTTTATTCGTTTCTGTCTCTGTTTGTATTATGTTTTTAAATTATTATGTTAAATGCTTTAAGTTTATTATATTAATTTGGCTCAAATGGACTAGTAGCAGTAATAGTGTAATACTATGGATTTTTTTGGACTTAGTAATAATAGTTTTTGTTCCAACATGAGTCTAGGTCCACTCTGGTCCTCATAATAAGACTCCGCCACTGCCCACCTGCTACGTGTTGAGCAGTGGTTCGATGTGGCCGTTATGAAAGTATGGACCATGTGAGCTGCGTCTCCTTCGCGAGTTCAGTAGCAACATCATAACATATTTTTGAGCTTGAAGCTCTTCATCAATGGTGACAAAAAATTGCAAAATGCTTTCTTAGATATTTTCTAGTTTTTACTCAAATCTACAATTACATGTAATAAGCATCAGCAAGGAACGTCATGTAAGGAATAACCTAACATATGTAACGTAGAAAACGTGTACCATACATAACTCGATTTCGTCATTACTCGTAGTCGTTGGAAAGCAAAAAGTGATTAAGAAAACTAAACCAAACATGTTTGAGCTATATTTTTCTTCAAACTTTGAAGCCAACTTTGACATTTTGCGGCAGTGCCACAGGATACACTATTCGCTCCATATAAGTTAGGTTGATTTAATTGTGTGATATTTTTTTCAATAATTTTATATACGTACATTTTCATATTAACATATTATAATTTAAAAAATAATACATATAAAAGTATGATATTTCACAATAAATATTCATTAGTATATTATATCTGAAATTGACTTGAAACATCACCCGCTAACAACTTGGTATTCGTATAACATTATAATTTATAAGATTTGTCGTGCAATTCGTATAACATTATAGTTTATAAGATTTGGTATTCCATGTAATATTTAATATGATAAAAATCATGACAATCTCCCTTTGAGAAAGCTCATGCAGAGTTTCTTCCATGCTTGGGTATCAGCCTCAAATAACTCTCCCAACTTAGACTTTACCTCCTTCCCAAGTGATTCCTGCAAGTGTAGAAGCCATCAAACTAATTAAAGCACATATTTCACATTAATTGTCTACTTGAACATTTACATACAGGCTAAGGCTACAGTCCTGTTACGGAACCACATTCTGTTGGGATTTTTAACCGTTCATTCATGTAGATTAGTGTAGCATGTGCATCAAACGGTAAAAAATCCCAATGAAATGGTTCCGTAACAGGACTGTAGTCTTCTCCATACATATAAGCAATAAAAACTAATTAATAAATAAATGCAGTCAACTTCTGTCTCGTTCGATTCGAACCTGAATGATGTTGCGTGTGATAAGACGGTCGATCAAGTGCAAAAGGATGTCCTTAGTGTACTCTGGGTGGCCTTGGATACCCACAACATGCTCCCCGTACACTAACATCTCCACTCCCGTCTTCTCCGACCATGCTAACACTTCCACCTCCCGAGGAAGCTCCCGTACCTAAGTAATTTATTCATTAAATCGATATATTATAATACGCGTTTTTGTCACATCATGAGCCTAAGTAATTTCATTTAATATCAAAAAATTGATAATATATTAAGATGAAATCAAAAAACCTCGTCCCGGTGGCACTCGATGATGGAAAGAGAAGACGGCATTTCCAAACGAGCCGGAAAACGCGAGTTCTTCAGATTAACTTTAGTGATCCCGATATCCCATCCCGTCTTGGACCGCTCGACCCGTCCCCCTAGAGCTCGTGCCAATACCTATTTCATATAATAAAATAAAATAAAATAAAAACCGATGTGGATATATAATAAAATGTCATATGAAAAATATTAAGTCCGGGAGAAATATGCCTGATGACCAAAGCAAATGCCGAGAATCTTCTTTTCCATGGCGAGCAGCTTGTGAAGGAGAGACAGGAGGGTGAGGATCCACGTGTCATCACCGTGGGCGTCGTTGCAGCTTCCGGTGATGATGAAGCCGTCGTAGTCTCCAACCACATCGTCTGCCGGAAAAGTTCCGCCTGCGACGTGGTACACATCCCAGGTCTCACCGTCTTCCTTCAGCATGCGCAGGTAAACGCCGTAATAACCGCCGTGAGCTCGCTTTATGTAGTCTGAATCCTCCGCGCACATCAGGATCGCGAACTTTGAGCTCACCATTTTCTCTACCTCTCTTTTTTATTTATGTATATATATATGTGTGTGTAATGTGTGTCTCTGTGTATGTTATGTCTAGAGAGATAATATATGATGGAAAGATCTTAACGGACGTCTTAGGTTTATATGGCTTTTATATACCAAAGATGAAAGTAGTTGGAATTTGAATTTTATTTTGGTTTTAACTTTTGTTGGAATACCACCTGTGAATGTCTTACATTAATTAATTATATAGAGTAAACGAGTCTAGTTTATAAGTCTATATCACTTGTGAGTTGTCCCACGTTGATTATATAGGGTAAATGAGCCTAGATTATAAGCCTAGTGGACTATTTCTCTCATAACCAATTTGTTTTGAGATGAAACATCACTAAGGTGCACCTTGGCTCACCCTCTTATGGTGCGCTTCATGTGGCGGGACCGCACTCTCTACCCCTGGTTCTAATATGGTATCAGAGCGAGTCTTTCCTAGGACTTGCAATGACTCGCTCTAATCGGCCTGCTCTGGGCTTGGTCTTATCTTTCTACTCGGCCTGCTCTGTGGGCTTGGGTTTACGAAGGACTCACAAGTGAAAGGCGCGTTGGAATATTACTTCTAAGTTGTCTCACATTGATTCTATAAAAAAAAATGAGCCTAGTATATAAGCCTAGTGGACTACTCTTCTCATCACCAATTAATTTTAGGATGGAACCTGAAACCTCAATAAGGTGCACTTAGGCTCACCCTCTTATTATGCGCTTCATCTGGTCGGACCCACTCTCTTCCCCGGTCCTAATACTTTTCTTTTAGGGTAATGGGCATGGAAATTTTGAGTTCATTTTTATTGTAACAAGATTTGTAGGACACTTCTTCTTCTTTTTTTTTTTAAAAAAAAATAATTTATTGCAAAAGATATTAGAACATGTTTAATAATAACGGAAAAAAGTGGTGAAGTGGGATTTCGGTAACAATTTCCATGTTCCTATATTGTATGGGAATCATGTTTGGAAAGTGATGTAATTGTAGAAAGAGTTGTTCCCTGTTCAGAAAACTAAAGATTATTCTTTGTGATGATCCAAAAAAACTGAATTAGGTGCGTATAATTCCTGAAAAGGAAAAGAAGACTAACAGTAATAGCTAACTAAGAAATATATATATAGCTCGACATAGGTGTTATAAGGAGCTCGGATAACACGCCAATATCGGTAGCTCGACTTATAAGAAGCTCGGACAATACGATCAATATCGGTAGCCCGACATATAAGAAGCTCGGACAATCTGGCAAGTACAAAAAGATTTATAGATTGAATGTTGAGGAGCTCGATATTCGGTAGTTTGGTATGCGACTCCATTAGGAAGCGAATCGACTGACGCAATAGGTCAAGTCTAAGCTGTCCACAAGGAACACGTGAAAAAAAAAAATAGAGATAAACAATCAGACAGATAAGAATAGAGTCAGATAATTGACGGGCAGACATATGGGTAGCTAAATAAACGACAGACAATCCTCTCGGGCAGAAGGGGCAGTTGGGTAGGACTTCGGGTAGGACAAAAGTTTGTTCATGAAGCTAATAATTTTTTATAATAGTAAAAATTAAAAAATAAAAATAAAGGTAAAGGTTATTCACGTTTTATACAGTCCAAGGCTTTCATATATTTTTATTTTCCATATCACCATACTGATTTGGTCGTCGGAAGTTTAACTCCCCGCGTCTTTGCGGGTCTCTGTGGAGCATCGTAGTCGAAGGATCTTAGAGAGCTAGTTTGAGGTGCAACTGCACATTATATAGCAGGTTTGACTGATAAATTTACTTGTTTAACAATTAATAGTTTTACTATTTTCGAATAGTAAAACCGGAAACCGGAAACCCGAAGGTCCATGTACCAAAAAAAAAATAGTTTTACTATTTTCGAATTACACTTGATTGATAATTTGATTTTAATTTCTAAAAGATAGATATAAATTAATATTATTTATTTTATATATGGCATATGGTTTTTAAATTAAATAGTAAAAATATTGTTGATTAGATATATATGTGTCCACAAAAAAAAAAAAAATTAAAAAAAGCAATAAAAGTTTTATATATTTATAATAATTTAAATTTGCCGTTTAAAAGTCTAATAGACATTAATATGAAATTTCGGAGCACAATTAACCTTTTGAAGCCGGATACTCAATTATAAGTTTTAAGATATCGCATTACCTTTGTCTGATTATGTATTTTTTACTATGCTAATAAAACTATGATCATATATAATTTAAGAAGTGGGTGTCACATGGATGTTGTAGTGAAAACTTCCCTAGACCCGAGTCACTCCCGTGACATCACCAAGAAAAATATTGTGTATCATCATATAATTCTAAGTCGAATTAATAAAATCATTACATTTCTTAATCACCGTATTATATTACGTATTAATAAAGTGTTAAATTTTATATAGAATTAGAAGTCACCCTCGTTAAGGTCTAAAAAAATAATATTGACGACCACTTTAAAATCACACCTTTTTTTTATACAATGAATGAGACTAAAGGCCTATGTTAGGACTCGACGGGGATACGACACCCAATAATATCATGCTGTAACCAAGTTCCCAGTCCCGAAGGAGGAGAAACTACTCGTTGTAGCCAAAACGGGAAATCTCACTTTTAACTTAAAAATAATATTGACCAACTATAGAAGTGGGTTCACTTATTTGACATGGAAAAATAATGAAGCCAATTAATCCGGACATGTGAGTAAAGAACCTCGCCCGGTTCAACGTCATTTGAACCGTACTTGAATTGTTAAATGATTTGCAAAACATTGTCGATGGTTGTCTCCACGTATAACTCCACCGTTTAAGCCAATTTTCAGGGGTGAAAGTGTAGTTAATAATAGCTTAGAATGTTAAGAAAGAAGAAGAAGAAGAAGAAGAATGATTATTAATATCAAAATTATATACATAATGATATTACCTCTTAAAATTATATACATTAGTAAAAATAAATAGTACAAAATTATTTAATTGCATATGAATCACTATATTCATTGGATGAAATGTGAGGAATAATGTACTTTTTTATAATTTTGAGGAATCCTAACTAATAATTAGCTGAAAAAAATATTAAATTTCTTATTATAATAATTGCTTATGTGATTTTAAATAGTTTGATTATACCATTAAAATCAATTAACTTGCTTAAAAAATAATCGATTATTTAGATAAAAAAATAATATTCATTTAGAAAAATAATAAAAAAAATTACAATATATATATATATATATATTGTCTATCTATCATTCATATACATTTAGTGTAATATAATTAGTTAGTCTTAAAACTAACTGTTATATGTAGAATAATTACCAATAAAATTATTACTCAAATTTAAGAATGTAACAGTATTTTTATCATAATTGACCTCTAAAAAAAGAGAAGAAAAAAAATTTATTTTGCATTAATTTTGTTTATGTAAATATCTAAGACCATCTTTATTAACGCCACCGGGGCGGTGGCATGAGAAACGACAAAAGAAACGAAAAAGTAAAAATTGAATTTTCCCCCACCAGAGTCATCAACCTAGGCATGTCGACAAACCCATTTTTTAATGAACCACAAGCTGCCACTTGGCAGCATGTGGTGGGTTGTATTTTTTTTATGTTTTTAAATTAATAATATTGTAAATAATTTTAAATAAAAAATAAATAAAAATTATATCAAAATTCATATTTTTTTTTCTCTATAAATAGAGTATAATATTGATACAATTTCACAACCAAATACAACCTCTCTTTTCTTCACACATTTCTTGTTCTATATTCACTCTATTCTTCATTTGAGGTTATGGATCCAAACTATTCAAATTATTTTTTCAACTCCCAAAACTATCCAAACTCAGACAACTTACCCAACTCCGAAAATTATCCAAATTTTGCTCCATATACGAATTCTCAACAATTTCCAAATTCCAAATATGAGCATAGTTCTCAATATTATCAAAATTCTCCAAATCTTAGCCAAATTAACACCTCTCAAGATGTGCACACATCAGAAAAAATTTTCCGCAATTTGTTTGAAAATGTTCAACGTCCTAACAAAAATCTAAAGGGGACCAAAAATAATTGGTGTGTGAAAGAAGATATAACTCTTATGTCATCGTGGATCTTCGTTAGCGAAGATAACATACGTGGCAGAAATAAAAAAGGAGTCTCGCTATGGGCTCGTGTGCACAATCTGTATCACGAACACCAAGAAGAAAAGCCGAATTAGCTGAGCGAAAGAAATATCGAATCAGTGAAAGGTCGTTGGAAACGGCTTAATGAAAATGCGAACAAGTGGGTGGCTACTGACAAGGAAGCGTGTGTTCGGAAAAGGAGTGGAATGACCGACAAGGATGTTGAGAACGAAGCTCATAGAATTTATGAAGCAGGTGGTAGCAAGTTTCAGGATTCGATTGTCTTTGTGTAAACATCCAAAGTGGGAGTTGATACCGCTTCAAGATAAAACTCGTTTTCGTCCTGAAGATGAAGAGGGTAATGACGAATAAAGTGGTGGAAGCACCAAAAGATCAAGGACTTCCGAAGATGCAGAGTATCCTAGGCCTTCCTATCAAGAAACTCCAAGTACCGGATGTTCCACTCCTTCCTGTCCTATTGGTAGAGATAAGGCGAAAAAGAAAGGAAAAGGTAAGATGCCACAATCTGATTTTTCTAATGAATTTGTTGCAGAAAATCGTGCATTGAGACTTTCCAGGGACAACGAAACGGAGGCAATGAAGAGTGTGTCTAATGCTAAAATGAAATTAGAGCGTGAAAAGTTGCAGGCCTCAAGGATGAAGATGAAAGAAAAAAAATATTGAATACCTTGTTAGCAAAAGAACATTTGTCTCCAACAGATGAGGAGACAAAACGCAAGCTTATGGCAATTGTATTTGGAGAATGAATGTACTGTGTGTTTTAGCTTGGGTATTTTTATGTATATTTTTAAATTAGTTTGTGTAATCTAACGTATCTTTCAATTCAGATGCAATTATTTATGATATGTCAACATCTATCTTTATTACCCTCTTTACACCTCTTGTTCACATGGACTTGTCAGAAATAATGTTAGCTACGATCTAAAATTTCTTCACATGCACTCAGACAATTCACATGCACTCATTTTTATTCACATGTAATTTATAGCTTGTCGGTAAATAAATACATGCACTCACTTTATTCACACGCACTCACTTTATTCACATATAATTTATAGCTTGTCGGTAAATAATTACATGCACTCACTTTATAGCTTGTTGGTAAATAATTATCTTATTTCTTTGTTCAAATATATTCTATATATATGATCTGCATTACAATGAACATCACACAAAATTCTCTACATTAGCTATTTTATCTTTGTTTCTTGAAAGTGTGCCATAATTTACAAAATGTCTCAAAATGAAAACTCTTCAACTGATTCAAATTCTAGCTCTAATTCTTTCCACATCCCTGAATATGATGAATGGGAAGAACGAGCAAGACAACACGATCATCAAATTGATTGGATCATTGAAGATATAATCATACACAATCCTAATCTGATTGTAGGCACTCAAATGCCAACAACCAGAAGGAGGAGGATGTATTGTAATAGAGAACGTGAGATTGGTGAGAGGAGCGTTTAATGAAAGACTACTTTGTGGAGGTGCCGACATACAGTCCAGAGATGTTTCGGCAGAGATTTCGCATGCATAAATCGGTATTCCTTCGTATAGTGGAGGCCATCTCAGCGAATGATGAATATTTTCAACAAAGGCGTGATGCCACAAGAAGACGAGGCCTTTCACCCCTACAAAAATGTACTGGAGCAATGAGGGTGCTTGCATATGGGGCATCATCTGATGTTGTTGATGAATACTTACGAATGAGTGAAGCTGTGACAAGAAAGTCCCTTTTACATTTTATCGATGAAGTCATTTCCTGCTTCGGTGAAAGGTATCTGAGAAGGCCTAATGAAGAGGATCTGACAAGGCTTCTCCATGTTGGGGAACTACATGGTTTTCCAGGCATGATTGGTAGTATTGACTGCATGCATTGGAAATAGAAAAATTGTCCCACTGCGTAGGCTGGGTAATATACAGGGAGAGGTGGAATTCCAACAATTATTTTGGAAGTTGTTGCATCATATGATCTATGGATATGGCATGCGTTCTTTGGAACACCAGGTTCGTGCAATGATATTACTGTATTACACCGATCTCCTATTTTTACTGATGTGTTAGAAGGTCGATCACCAAAAGTTAGTTATAAAGTGAATGGTCGTCAATATGATAGAGCATATTACCTCACTGACGGCATATATCCTTCGTGGGCTGCATTTGTCAAGTCAATAACTGCTCCACAAACCCAAAAACACAAATTGTTCGCTCAACAACAAAGTCTGCTAGAAAAGATGTTGAGCGAGCATTTGGAGTTTTACAAGCTCGTTTTGCATATCTTCGACGTCCATGTCTCATTTGGGATAAGGAAGTAATGGGAAAAATAATGATGGCTTGTATCATTATGCACAATATGATAGTGGAGGATGAACGAGACACATACCAAAACTATTATGATCCCATAGAATTTCTTACGGATATACCTACAAGAGTCCAATCACAAGATGTTGAACTCAACTACTCTACACAACGCATTTCGAGTTTATCTGCTTATATGATCAATAGGGATCAACTTTGCAACAGAGAAGCTCATCGTTCTCTTCAAAATGATTTGATTGAGCACATATGGGAAAAATTCGAAACTCGTAATTAAATATGTAATTTTCACTTCTGTTGTAATTTTATGCAATAATTTGTAACTCAGTTTATTTATTTCTAATTTTATATTTCAACTCTTATAATATTTATTTTATTGTTAAGTTAAATATCGATTATTTAAATGAACGGTAATATTTTTGCATTATAATTATATATTTTTGTTATTTTTTAATTTAATACAAATTAATATATCTAATTTTATTTAAAAATAAAGTGAAAAGAAAAAATATTAGGTTGGGTTGGTGTCATAGATAAAAGTAGAAATAGAATTGGGTTGTGGGTTGTATGAGCGAGGGCGAGAAGCATGCCATATGTGACGTGAGAAAGGCATGAAGAGCTTCTGAAAGAAAAGCAAGAACTTCTGTCAGAGGACCACTCGTTACGCTAACCACTGCCCTCGAAGTGCCTGATCCCAATGCAATGGCCGTTTCCTCAGCCCCTTACCGCGTAGTGGGTGTATTTTCCCAAAAGCGATCCCTCACAGAGCTATAAAGTGGAAGAGAGAGAAATGAATATTTTAAAAGAATTGGGTTGGATTGGGTTGGGTTGGGTTGGGTTAGGCCACCTTTATCCGTGACCCCCTCTTATTGGGTCACGGAATTAAAAAAAAATTTAAAACAAAAAAACAAGGAAAAGGTCACTGGATGCGCGCGACCCAGGTCACATTGTGACCTCGGGTCACGACCGGTTTTTTGTACCGAAATGGGACACTTGTCCCATTTTTATTGCACAAGTGTATTTTTTTGTATCTAAAAAAATAAAAAAATATTAAAATTCGTATTTTTTCATTCTCTACAAATATAGACCATACTTGATATATTATAGAACACAATTGTAATTTTTAAATAAATTAAAATAAAATAAATATTTAAGTTGAGTTGGATTAGGAATAAAGATAAATTGGGTTGGAAGATTGAGTTGTGTAGGTAAAGGAGAGATAAACAATTTTTAATTGTTAGGTTGAGTTGGGATGAGTTGGGCTGGAGATAAGATACAGTCTTATCAATCAATATAGATAAATAAATATATGTTGAACAAATTTTGTTCATCATGAAACTTCATGGAACCCACCTGCTACCTGCTGCAGATGTTTCCTATTCTAAATCAGCACAAACTTGATTCCTTTGACCTCCCCTTCGTTTTCACCACCATCGTCTTTCTCGCGTTCGCTGTTTGCTCTCCATTTTATTCCCTCATAATTCGTTAATTTTTTGTTTCTTCTCGTTTTATTGTTTTCGAATTTGAGTTTGAGTAGGATTTCTCGAGGTTGGTTTTTCCTTCTCTCTATTTATTGGTCGTTTCCGGTGACTGAATTTTGAGGGTTGCTGAGGTATCGATTTATCAGTTGCTGATGATATTCAAGATCATATTTATCTTTATTATTTTGTTTTTTCGTAGTTATTAATGATTGTTGTTGTGAAGCGATTGACTCTGGTTATTTATTCATAGATGTATAGCTGATTCTTGATTCATTGGTGCGTTCTGTGATAGGGCCTCTCCTTTTGTATGCAATAGGAAAGGGTATTGAGAGTATAGTGGATTTGGTGTTTTGGGATGATGATGATGATGAATGAAAAACTTTAGTTAACAAATGGAGCTGAATCATATAGATAATGATTTAGAGTACAACGATCAAGAATTACGGGAGGAGCCGAAAAGCTTCACTAAGGATACCCATTTTCAACGGTATCCAGGAGCCGTTCGGAAGAAGGCCTACATTTTCGATGGGGCCGGAAAATACTACAACAAGGAATGGGACCTATTAGAGGGCCGGGGCAAGGAATTCTGTTGGTACCACGTGGAGCTCCCGAAAGGGAATCAAAAGCTCTCGCAATCGGCACAGTACCTAATAGACGTCCTATGCCCGCCCCTTAAGCTCCAAGACATTCTCTCGCTGGTTAGCAATGGCCCTTTTTGCGGTCATGTGGATGGTGCCCTTGTGTTCAGGGTGAACTCTCCTGGCCCACCTTCCAGCAAATTCACCTTCAGAATAGCTGCAAGAATTACAGAACATTCGGTGATCACTGTGTCATTGGGGCGGGTCCCACGGTTGGGTTTCTCGCCTGCGAATGAGTCGTTGCTGTCGGAGGTTCCTGTCGTGGAGGGTCCCAGTTATGAGAGTCGGGAAGGGAAGGACAGGGGTGGGATTGTAATTAGGGAGCACGTGTTGGATTTTCTGCTGACGATGAATCACTCAGAGGAGGCTGATAATCCTGTTCCTAGATCTGTTCCGAATCTTGTGGTCCACGTGATTGATACACATGTGGATCATGTTCAGGATTTGGTGACGAAGCTTGAGATTGAGCTGGACTCGGTCGAGTTCGAGCTTGACAGAGGTAATTTGCTTTGGTGTGCAGTTAGTGAGGTGTTTGTTTGTGTGTTATCTTTTGGTGCTATTTTTGCTTGTTGACGTCATTGGTTGTGTTTGAAGATGAATTTTATTTCTTATGCGGTTGTTGCTTGGCTCGGACTGTTATGGACTTTGATGGACTTTCATTTTTGTATTTGTATGGTTTTGGAATTTGATTCTTGATGGAGAGTGATAACTCCGTGTAGATATTTCTAATGTAATATTTCTGTTTACAAGAGGTAATTTGGGTTGAAGGTTTATGTCAGTACGCCGATGAACTTCAATGTACTATCGTTCGACTTAGATGGCACAAGGTTATAAGTAGCTTAAGCATATGCAGTTGTCGGATAATAGCAGTTGAAGCCCCAATGGTTTCATGTCTGAAGACCTGGAAATGCAATTGTGCGATGATTATAATTGAAAAAAGGGAACAAATGAAAAGGGAAAAAACTTAAAAAAGAAAGAAAGAAAAAAAAACCTAAAAAAAGAAAGAAAGAAAGAAAGAAAGAAAAAGGCTATCTAAATGATTGAATACACAAAGTGAATGAAGTTCATAATATGACATTTAGATGTTCAGTAAATATTTTTTCTGGTGTGTGAGGAGAACTAGTGTTTTTTGCATCTGTGTTCTTCATTACTGATATTTTTATGTGAATAATCACTTCTCTGTCTGTAGGTGGTTTTGATTTGAAGAAGCAGTTGTTAGACGATAGAAAGTTCCCAAAAATGCACCTTGACTTGCAACGTCTATTGCAGGTAATTAATGTTGCTAGACATTCCATAACTTCTATAAATGTTTGCCATGCTGTATTATCATTTTTTTCTGAAGTAGACAGCATGTAAGTTTCAAAATTTGTTTTAGTGTAAATGATTTCTGACATGCGATTGTGAGCCTAAAATTTCTTTGAACGAAATTTCTCCCACATAGGTTTAGATAAAAATAACGTGCTCTGTTTGGTTCACTTCTAGTAGTAATACTTATTTCATGACTAGCCCTTTGCATTTTTAAAGCTTCTCATACAATGCTGTTATTACTTATTAGGGGGAAATGTAAGTATCAAAGCTTGTTAAGATTTTTCATGAAAAGTTCTATCCAAAGCTTAAAGCATGTTATCCTTTGCCCGACCCAAGAACCTGACAGAGTGACCTGCCACAGCTTCTAAAATAACAGTATTTACAGCTGACCCTTGAGCAATCATGAAAACATTGTAGTAACCCCCCAATATAAGGCAAAATAAAAACTTGCCTTTTTCTTGTTTGATCTTTGAAATTTTATTTTGGTTTTTCTGCTAAAACTACGACCACGAAAGGTAGCCTTAGGAATAATCTCTATTTTCGTACCTTTATCTTATGTCTGGCAGCTGTCTGAATATCAATTGAATGATTTTTCACCAGATAAATCGGCAAAAAATTCTGGTGTAGTTCTGTTCTAGCTTATTTTTCTAAGTTTCTTGTCCACATTGCAGGTGATTGCACATGGTGAGCAAGTATTTCCCCGAGTGAAGGAAAAGTGTTCATTAAAAGATTGGTTTACTAATGAAGATGTTAACGCCTTGGAAGAGTTAATTGGGCGGATAAGGCGACTAAAAGAGAATGTCGGGTTTATAGCTAACCGTATCACGGCAATACAGGCTGGGCTAGACAGTTGGCAATCTGAGCAAATAAATCGAAAGCTATACTACCTCTCTTTCCTGTCCATCATATTTCTGCCTTTATCAATAATCACTGGAGGTCAGATTTTGCTGAAATTCTTCCCTAAACCCCATAATAACTGTCATTTTGGTCAAATTAATAAGTTGTGATATATTTCACAATCACAAGTAACCCTTTTCAGAATAATATACCACATATAAATCTGACACAAATAACATTCTTTCTATTATTGACAGTTTTTGGAATGAACGTCGGAGGAGTTCCATGGACTGACCAAAGGAAGCCGGAATTAAGTGACGGGTTTCGTAACGTGATGTTTATATGTGTGGCAATGCTGTTGATTATTCTTCTCTGTTTCCTTTTTCCGGTTCTCTACAGCCGCATAATGGCCTGGCGAAGAAGGAGAGTCTTCAGAAGAAGTTGGTCCCTCAACCAAAAGTCGTACATTAGGAGAACTGGGGTTGGTGCAGAATTTCGGGAAAAACGAGGGTACCTTCGTATTTAATTCGTAAATTGTTCTAATCGTGTTCGGCGATGTGAACTTAGAGTTCCACTTATTATTGCTGGACTTGAGTGATATCCTTGTGATTCTTTTCGGTTTCTACAGTGTCTCAAATTGGGTGTACAGAGATTTTTTTTTTCTTGCACGTTGATAAGAGTAATTTGATGCGCCATGCTTACTTACATGCTTCAGTAGTATTATGCTCAGTTGAAGTGATCTAGAGATTCAGAATAGAATTGAAGTTTAAAGATTAATTACCTTAGTTTTGATTCCATTATTTGAACTTAATAATGTAATGAAGAAAATTGTGCTTTTGATTATTGGTGCGAGTGCGACTGAAGTAGCTCGGTTTGGAGTAGCTCCTCAGATATCAATATTGCACACCTTTCATAGTGTTAGAATATCACTTATGAATTGTCCCACATCGTTTATATAAGGAAAATAGATCTAACTTATAAGTCTATTGGACTACTCCTCTTTCCACCAATTGATTTTGAGATTGAACTTTACTTGGGCTTTATCTGAGCTTTTTCTCGTTTGTTACATGGTATCAGAGCCATTTTTATCCGAATCGGAAATCGTGAGCCGGTTCTATATGGATCTATTTGGGACCGAGCGATGACGTACCCATCACCAAATCCAGTTGGGCTTGAGTTACTTACAAGTGAGGGGCGTGTGTTAGAATATTACTTGTGGGAGGCGTGTGTTAGAATATTACTTGTGAGTTGTCCACATCGTTTATATAGGCTTTTCCCCATTTCTTACACATAGTTTCTGAAGTTTATAGGGGAGACAAACAAACGATGAGATGTTTATTCTAGTAATACATGTTAAGGGAAAAATGTGAAGGTTGTTAATTATATAAGTGCGCAAAATCCATCCATATCAGATTCTATTAACTAGTGTTGTTACCAGTGCGATGTACGGTATATAATATAAAAAAAATATTTTTTTATTAAAATTAATTAATTAAGATAATATAAAGTCTGTAATAATAATAATATTTATTTAAATATTTTAATTTTTATTTTTCAATTTATTTTTGTAGGTAGAAATTTTATTAGTTATTAGTTTATATACTATTATAAAACTGTTAGATTTGAAATAAAATGATTGTCTACAAATTAATTGCATGTACTTGTATAATTAG